CTTTTTTTTTTTTTCACGAGGTTAACAATGAAAAACATTGTTAATTCTAACTTTCTAGAGGTGTTAATAAATGTAAATATTCCTAAACAATAAACACTGCCCAGGGTTACACACTATGAGATATCGTAAACACTGAAAAAAGATATTTAAGAAATGCATTAAACATTGGAATAGAGAGTCGCTGGTTTCAAAATTATATATTTTGTTTTATTCACATTAAGGTTTCGTTTAGTTAATTTACATACTCGCCCCTGGTTTAAATCAATTAAAAACATTGAAACTCTAGGTAGGATTTGTATCATTTTAATATGATATGTCACCGTAAGACAAATACAAAAATTAAACATGTAATTCATTATAAAGTAAACTGCACTGATTGAACAGTGCTGCAATTATTCCATGTGGTTTTAAAAAATCAAAACTGAGGTTTTCAGTGACATTTTAGATCGTTTTTTTCCGTTTTATTTTAATTTTGTTTGTTTAAAAACAACAACAACAACAAAACCACATTTTTTTTATTTTTCTTTTAGTATTGTTCAATACTTATATACTCTGTTACTGCTATATGTTTTCCCTTGTGTGATCCAAACTATACAAATGTAGCCATGCTTTGGTGAGTGCTCGATTTGTATAGTTAAGCATGCCACCTAGTGTCTATTTAAAGAACTGCTGACAGCTACGTATAGTTGGGTAAAATAAAATTTGAGTTCCTGATGTCACTTCAATATATTTGCCTGCAAAGGTGCAGCATGTGTTTTTTTGTTTTTGCATTTGTGGGTGTCATGAGTTAAAGAGTCCCCACTGCCTTTTTCTATAGATAACTAGTGTGTTTAAATTCAATGAGAAGGATATTACATTAGCTGGGAGATACTTTCCCATACATTAACCCATTGTTTCCCCTATAGGAATCCTTGGTATTTGCAATTATTTTAAACAAGAATGCATTGGCAATAAAAACCATCACATCATTCCAGGGTGCCTGGTTAATGGCCAAGCACCTTTATGGGAATTGTCCCCCCCATTCTAAAAATAAATTAAGTTGGTAGCATCAAGCTGACGGTGGTCAAACAGTTCTTTCAATGAGTAGACTTTCTGACAACACTTCAAGATTACAATGGAAGGTGATGATATGCCCTTTCTGCTATCCAACACACTATGAGGAACAGGAGTATAGAGAGAATTATTACCCAGACCATTGGTTCTCTATTCAGCCGCCTGATGAAAAAACAAAAAACAAAACTTATTTGCTCATGCTGGGAGCCTAAACTGCAATCCTGAACCTTAAAGGGACACTCAAAGCGCCAGAACTACTACAGTTTAATGTATAGTGAATCTCAATTCTAAGGAAGGCAATGTTTACACTGCTTTCTATTGTTAGTTTTAGAGACTGTCACTCAGAACGCCATTAGAGGCATTTCCTGGTGTAGTCCTGCAATCTTTGCAGGGCTGATTTCCAGTATTTTCACACTCTGCATGAAGGACGGCGATCGCTCCTCGTAGAAGTGCAATGAGCCAATGCTGGCTGGTGCAGTGTGCACTAGCCTCCACCCTTTTCTTCCCTATGGATTTGCTGAGATCATCTGTAATGCTGATCTCAGCCAGGATAAGAACAGCGGTAATGGAGAGAACGTATGTTTTAAAGCTTTATTTTACTCGTTGGGGAATCTCAAACATCTAAATAGTTAGTAAACAATCTAACGTTAGGAATATATGTTTGTATTCCCTGTAGTTTCCATACCTTTATAAAAGTCCCTACAACCTGCAGCAGTGTACCTGTGTCACATACCTTGTCCACCCAATGTCTGTTTTAACTTTCTGACTATATCACACAGGTTATATCAATAATACATCAATTTAGACAAGGATCCTACATTTGGCTTTTTATTTTCCCTTGTGGATACTTTGTATTTTTATCTTGTTTGCAAATTAACATTGTTATTATTATTATTATTAACATTATATAGCTCCAACATATTCAACAGAGTTTTACAATTATAAAATGGGGATATCTGACAATAAGTTATATGCATACAAAACAATATTGACGGAGACAGTAAGTGAAGAAGTTTAGAATCGACCTCACATATCTACAATATATGCCAACTCCTTTAGGCGGTAAGCTTTATTAAGCAGGGCCCTGGTGACTCCTATTTCATTTATACCTATCTTGTATTGTCCTTTATGTATCTCTATGTTTACTTATTTATTGTACAGTGTCCTACGATAAGCTGAGCACTGTAAATCCATATAAAGCAATAATAGATATTGTGCCTAGCATTTATAAGCTCACAATGCACCAAATGTATATAAAATGAACTGATATATTATCTAATAATATTAAAAAAACCACAAACAGTTCATATCCTAGACTCTGTGATAAACACACATCATTTCCCATTAAGTCTTATTAAGGGTGTATCAAGTTATTTATCTGAGCTAAATTTTGTCCTTGGATTATCCAAGCAGCCTGCCTGTCCAGACACTACTTCCTTATCAGTCTTGTTAAAAAAACAACAACAAATAATTGCTCTCTTCTTCTCCCAGACGCCTATCTCCTATTTACCAATTACTGCATACATTATACTTATCACTCAGTGTAAACATACATAAACAAACGCAGGTCAAACGGTCAGCATTTCACAGTAAGGGCCTATCTACAACCAGATTTTTAGTGGTCCCTTAATTAAGGATTTTTAATGTATTAAAAATTCTGGAAATTTTCGCTAATCACCATGTGTGTGCAAAGAGATTCAAACGGTTTATAATACACAACACTGGTTGGATTATTTACTGAAATTTTTCTAAGGCTATACAGTCATGCGAAAAATGAAAATACACTCTCTTTGAATTCTTAGCAAATCTTAAAATTAGCTAAATACAACCTTAGATGAACAACAACACAACATATTACACTACGTCATAATTTATGTAACAAAACTAAAGCCAATATGTAGAAGCCATGTGTGAAAAACTAAGCACACCTTACGATTCTATCGCTTGTAGAACCACCTTTAGCAGGAACTTATTGAAGTAATAGTTTTCTGTATGACTTTATCAGTCTCTCACATCATTGTGGAGGGATTTTGGCCCACTCTTCTTTACAGGGTTGTTCAGTTCATTGAGGTTTTCTGACATTTGTTCTGTCACAGTTATTTAAATCAGTTTGAGGTCCGGACTTTGACTGGGCCATTGCAACTTCTTAATTCTTTTCTTTTTCAACCGTTCTGTTGTAGATTTGCTGGTGTGCTTGGAATTATTGACCCAATTTCGGCCAAGCTTGAGCTGTCGGAGTGAAGGTCTCATATTTGACTCTAGAATACTTTGGTATACAGAGGAGTTCATGTTCAACTCAATGACTGCAAGGTTCCCAGGTCCTGTCGTTGCAAAACAAGCCCAAATTATCACCCCTCTAGCACTGTGCCTGACAGATGCTTTGAGGTGTTTTTGCTGAAATGCTGTGTTTGTTTTTTGCTAAACGTGGGGCTGAGGATTATGGCCAAACATATCCACTTTGGTCTCGTCCGTCCAAAGGACATTGTTCTAGAAGTCTTGTGGTTTGTTCAGATGCAACTTTGCAAACCTAAGCCGGGTTGCCATGAGAGAAGAGGCTTTCTCCTGGCAACCCTTCCAAACAAACCATATTTTTCAGTTTTTCTAATCGTACTGTCATGAACTTTAACATTTAACATGCTAACTGAGGCCTGTAGAGTCCCAGATGTAACTCTTGCTAAATTTCTCTGAGCATTGCATTGTCTGACCTTGGGGTGAATTTGCAGGGACGCCCACTCCTAGGAAGATTGGAAGCTGCCTTGATGTTTTCCACTTTTGAATAATCGTCTCACTGTAGAATGATGAACTTTAAATTGTTTGGAAATGGCCTTATAACTTTTCTCAATTTGATGGGCAGAAACAATTGCTTCTCAAAGATGATTGCTGATGTATTTCCTCCATTGGCATTGTGTTAATAACACACACTCGAATACTCCAGACCAGAGAACTGCTAAAATGTAGGTTTTTATAGAAGTGATCACACTTGCTGGTGATCAATGACGGGCATTTAATTTTCAGCATCTGTTTGCTACTTATCGTTTTAATTCCTATATCAAGGGTGTACTTAGTTTTCCACACATGGCTTCTTCATATTGGCTTTATTTTTTGTTAAATAAATCATGAATGATATGTAATATGACATGTGTTGTTTTTCATCCGAGGTTGTATTTACCTAATTTTAAAAGACCTTCTAAGGAACAGATAATTGTTATTATGTCCTGATATAAAAAAAAGCCATATAATTCAAAGAGGGCGTACTTTATTTGTCCCATTACTGTATATAACACATTTCTCAATTTACCCCAATAACTCAATTTAAAAAAATAATAATTTTCTTAGGGCATGCCTTCTACTTCTTGCTCTGTGTGTTTCTATCTAAGCCATAATGAAACTTGTTCTGACCTCACGCTTTCAGATTCAGTGTATAGAAACATAGAAACATAGAATGTGACGGCAGATAAGAACCATTCGGCCCATATAGTCTGCCCAATTTTCTAAATATTTTCATTAGTCCCTGGCCTTATCTTATAGTTAGGATAGCCTTATGCCTATCCCACGGATGCTTAAACTCCTTTACTGTGTTAACCTCTACCACTTCAGCTAGAAGGCTATTCCATGCATCCACTACCCTCTCAGTAAAGTAATACTTCCTGATATTTTTAAACCTTTGTATAGAAACATAGAAACAGTGTTTGGAACTGCACATTTATTTGGGTTAATAATACATTTGTTAACTACTTAAAACACAGGAGAATGTATTAAAGACATTTTACCTGTGTCTAAGACATTTCAGTGCGACCTATATGTCACAAATAATTTATGATGCACAACTGGCACTTTATTCATGTTGCTATAAGGATATAAACCTACATTTTATTACTTAAAGGGACACTAAAGTCTCCAAAACAACTTTAGCTTAATGAAGCAGTTTTGGTGTATAGATCATACCCCTGCAGTCTTACTGCTCAATTCCCTGCCATTTAGGAGTTAAATCAATTTGTTTATGAACCCCAATCACATCTCCCTGCATGTGACTTGCACAGCCTCCCTAAACACTTCCTTTAAAGAGTCATCTACAATGTATCCTTCCTTTATTGCAAGTTCTGTTACATTTAGAATTCCTTATCCCCTGCTATGTTAATAGCTTGCTAGACCCTGCAACAGACTATAATGTGATTAAAGTTAAATTTACAGAGAAAGATATAATTGTTTAAGGTAAATTACATCTAATTGAAAGTGAAACCAGGGTTTTTTTTCATGCAGGCTCTGTCAATCAGAGCCAGGGGAGGTGTGACAAGGGCTGCATAAACAGAAACAAAGTGATTTAACTCCTAAATGGCGGTGCTTCATTAAGCTAAAGTTGTTTAGGCGACTATAGCATTCCTTTAACTCTAACCATAAAATACTTCCACTAACCACAGTCCTGAAAAAACAGCCAGAATTGACACAGATAAATGAAATGTTGTACAATATTAGCTGTACCACTGAGATAGTGCTGACATTACTTTGGAGAGAAAAGTGCATGTAAAAACAATTAGTAGTCCATTATTTATTTTTAAAAATGTTATTCTTAGCAGTTATGGATTAAGTACAGGATGTGCCAAAATTCAGGGTGGAAACCACAATTTGCACGTTTGTGCTGCTGTTCAACCTCCACTTCTTTTTTGTCATGTGAATCAGAAATAGTGGTGCTGTCAACATTTAAAAAAGAGGTCAAGGAGTGCACAAACAAACAATTAACAAACAAACAAATATCATGTACACGATTCCCAATGTATGCACTCAAATGACAGAATCATGCGTACACATTTTTTAATATTACAAGTGAAATTTATTTTATAGATTAAACTATTTCCAGCTCTCGTGTGACCCTCCAGCAGCTGAACAGGATGGTGGGGAGATCTATAGATTTCTGTCTCCAGCCCTGTGATTCTTTCACATCATGTTAGCACCTCCAGCTGGTGCAGATGATCATTTGTTAAATTAATTTTTAAAAGTGTTTTTGCCCAATATAAATGTTTATTTTTGTTTCCCTTAAATAATGTGCTTTGCGTACTTAAAAAAAAATATATGTAAAAAATTACTTTCCATGGGACCTAAAATACTCAGATTCTGGTGGAGTTTTTTTCTCAAAACACTTGGTAGTATAATAAAATAATCATTCAAACTGCGAATGCATTTTTTTTTTAATTTTAGTAACATTACTTAGTTGTCTTATTTTGTGATTGTAATCAATAAAATAAAAACATCAGGATAAAAGCAAAAAATCCAAACGGGGAATACAAATCGACAGGAAGACAGATTATTTTGGAATAATGGAAAAAAAACACCAATGTATAAAAGGTGCAGTAACAATTTTATGCACAAGAAAATGGTGCATGTTCACAAAACTAAATGTAAATGGAGCATTTTTTTTTTTTTTATAAAAAACGCCGCGTGTGTCTGTTGAAACATAAAACTGGAAATAAATTAATTCCACACAGAAAAAGGAATTTGAAAATGTATTAAACACCAAACTGACCATAAAAGTGGAATTTTGCAAACAGATTTTGAAGTGTGTGAGTAGCCTAAAGCAAATATATAAAAATATATAAAAATAAGTTTTTATTTAAATCATAAACTTTATAACTTTATGTCCCCCCACTCTTCTTACCTTTACTCGGGGAAGGAGGACATTTCTCAAGCCCTGGTGGTCCAGTGGAGAAACCCTGATGGTCCCAGTGGTGAGTGAACTCTACTCTGCAGATCCTGCGGCTAGAGTTCACTCTCTCCAGAGATCCAGATCCATGGTAACCCCAGCATGAGGAGGACTCAGAGGAGCTGCAGGCTGAGCTCCCTGGTCCTCTCTCCCTCCCATGTCGGCTGCCAGCAAGGTGCCTGCCCTCTGGTCCATGAAGGCACATAGCACTGCTCCGTTAGATGTGTAAAAACATACGGCCAAGTAGCTGAGGATAACAGCAGCTCCCATCCTATTATTGTTTTGGGGAGCATAGCTAAATGCTATATAGTCATCTGCGAATCGAAAACTAACTGTGTGAAGTGCCTAGTGCTGGCATTCGCTGGCTGCTCCGTTAATAGGGAGTTTAAATAGCCTTGGATATATGTTGGAAAATACCCAGTGCTTTGATAGAGTCATTGTTAAAGGGACACTCCACTGCCCAAATACAAAATAAATAAAAATCCCTATTTAGTAGATATACCGCAGATTAAAATTTGCATGCATTTCATCATGTATTTTTTAATTGGGGATATATCTGAAAACAGCTTGCAAATCCTGCAGTTCTCTTGTCTGCTGCCTTTGCAAGCTCTCCCCTTCTAACCCCGCCCAGACTTTCTGTAGCTGTCCAATCACAGACTACCCAGTACAGCTCAATGAGAAGTCTTTGTAAGTCAGGTGCTCTGGGCAATTGCTGCCTCTTGAGGTCAGCTGCATTTAGCTAACGAAACCAGGAAGTAGCATTACCTGTTATCTGCTGAAAAGCCAAGGGGGTGTAACCAGGTTAATTTATAAAATTGTCAATTTCTATTGAAATCTGCACTTTTTGCAAAATGAAAAAAAAATAGGAAACACTCTACACACATAAAGCTTTTCAGCAAGCTAAAGTTGTTTAGGGGTCTGGAGTAACCCTTTAAGAGGTCTTCTGAAGGGAGGTACAAATCGTTAATGTATATAGTGATCATACAAAACCTACATTTTCAAATTAGCATATAGCTATATCCAAAGACTGTAATAGGTCCCTTGTATAGGAAAAAGTGATTCCAGGGATCGAAAAGCATAAGTGACAAGGGATGATATATCTACATATTCCTCGGTTTGTTAAAAAATTGGTTTCTCCAACAGGAACTGCATAGCAAGACAGAGTAATGACAAGCCATACAAAAGGGTTTCAGGAATAACCGAGCTTTTTGCAGCATATTATTCAAGTCTATTAATCTACTGTGAAAGGAGGACTGTTAGACAAAGTATGAAAAGAAGACACATAATGAGAAAAAGATAATTATTAAAAATAAATATAAAAATGAAAAAGATAAATGATGAATGAACAACGAAATACATTGCGATGAGTTGGAACAAACCACCCACAATGAAAGCAAAGATACAAATACTAAATTTGTACATATACACAGTACAATATATACACATATCTATCCAACATACTGATAGTTCAAGTTATAAAAGCTGTAATAGTAAATTCCTCATTAAGCCCAGATGGGGCTAGGGTTTTAAATTCATAAATTCCCTCTGTAATATTGTTTTGGTTAACGTCTGCCTTTTACAGGGATGGGTTAGGGTCTCTAGTTTTAATACAAGGGGGGCCTAGTGTTCTCCCCCAGCCCCCACATATTCCAAACACATACTGAAAGGGGGTGGGGGGTGGGCTTGACATGTCTTTGTTATTATTTTAATAAATGAGTTGCAATGTTTTGGAAATTATTTTGGTCTTTTTTGGGGATAAAGAAAAGATTTAGAAGAAAAAAAACATGTAATGGTGAGTTTGATATTTTTTTCCTTACTGATAATTAGTGATGTCCCGAACGGTTCGCGAACGGTTCGAAACGAACAGTTCGCCACGGACTCATCATTGAGTAAACTTTGACCCTGTACCTCACAGTCAGCAGACACATTCCAGCCAATCAGCAGCAAACCCTCCCTCCCAGACCCTCCCACCTCCTGGACAGCTCACTAAGAATGCAGATTCACAATGAATGTAAAATGGATGCTGTCCAGGAGCTGGGAGGGTCTGGGAGGGAGGGTCTGCTGCTGATTGGCTGGAATGTGTCTGCTGACTGTGAGGTACAGGGTCAAAGTTTACTCAATGATGAGTCCGTGGCGAACCTTTCGCGAACCATTCGGCGAACCATTCGGCGAACCATTCGGGACATCACTACTGATAAGAGTTTTATTATCCCCCCTCACTGTCATGGAAAGGTAAGATCTTTACTTTGTTTGAGGATTGGTGACCCCTAGCCACTGGATTGGATGGACAGATCAAAATTCATTTTCTGGGGATAGGCGGACAAAGGCATGACCACCCTCACTTCAATATTATTTATTTAGAGCCCTCATCCACTGGGTGTGGGTTGGGGAGAATCTATGTCCCCCTTTACATTACAATTAGAGCCTCCAACATACCACTAAAAAAAAAAAAGTGTGTTAAAAAGAAATATATTGAAGAAATATATTTCTTATCTTTTATTATTACCTAATGTAAATTATCTGACTCTGGGCTTTTATTTATTTGTTAGCCATGCTGTCTTGTGTCAGCCAATCATATGCCTGTTTTATTTACAGTTTGGGAAAGTTACAGGGTCAGATAGAGAGCTTGCCCATTTCTGTTTTTACACATTGCAATTTCCCAGATATGTTGCCTTTGAGACCGTATGGCAGCCCAGGAATGAAAATTCATGACATACCACTTGCAGAAATAGTCAGCAACAAGGTATTCAAATTGTGGTATGTCCAGTCTTGGCCAAAGTTGGTGTTCACATTTAGTTTTTGCATTTTTCACACAAAACTATACTTTCACTAATGATATTATCGTCATTATAAATTGTACTGCTCTAAAACACTCATATTTGTATTTAGCGCCGATGTCTCAAGAGTACAATAGTAACCCTCATGTACAGGTTTTATGCAGGGTCGGCGCTACTACTAGGCAGATAAGGCCTCTGGGGTGTGCCTGGCCTCTGCCCTGCTGCTATCTGGGGTCGTTGTGCTTGGTGAGTGGCTTCTTAGCCACCTCTCCCCACCCCCGCGCACCCATTCAGCTGCTGGACTCCCCCTGCTGCCTGCGTGCCTGAGGAGTGGTGTTTGCAGTAAGCCCAGCACCCAAGCAGAGCACTGTGCTTCCTGCAGGCAGGCAAACCTGGGATATGACTTGGTATCCCTGCTGCCCCCTGCCTGTGAACAAAGGTAACTCTCTGAATGGAACAGGAAGCAGCCTGTGCTCACAGTGCATGGTTCTCCTGCTCCCCCCACCAGGAACAACAGCAACTACCTGCAGGCTGGACCCCTTTCCTCCATTCACAGCACTTATGTATGGTCCATCTGAAGGTAAGGGAAACTGATTATAAGTATGAGTGTATGATTGTAAATTGGTCTGTGTGTATTGAATTGCTGTGTTTGTACGTGTAAATAAAGTGTGACTATATGTGTGTGTGTAAGTGAAACTGTGTGTGTATGTCAGTGACAGTGTGTGAGTGTGTAATTGTGTGTAAATGACATTGTGTCTGTTAGTGAAAATGTGTAAGTGACACTTTGTATATATGTCTGTTAGAGTGTGTGTGCTATTGTGTGTGTGTGACCATATAAATAGATACTTATATATTAAAGTATATGTATAATATATGTTAATATAATTCTATATTAATCTGAAAAATAGGTTTTACTTAAAATTTACTGTGACATAAATTAAATCCCAACATTATTATAAATTAAATACTACAAAATGCATTGAAAATGAGTGTATGGATACATGTATTAGGCAGTATGTGTGTATTGATATATGCATTAGGCAGTATGAGTGTATGAATGTATCTATTAGGCGGTGTGTGTGAAATATGTATTTTGCTGTGTGCATTTGGTTGATTGTATGTAATAGGCAGTCTGTGTCGATTGATGGATAGATGTATTAGGCAGTGTGTGCATATGGATGCATATACTGGATGAGTGTTTCCACGCAGTGTTTTTTCCCCCCTAAATGTCTCTTCATTGCAATTCAGTATTTAGGGAATAAACCTGTGAGAGATTGTAGTTGCCTTCATGTGGGGGCGGCAAAATGGATTGTTGCCTAGGGAATCCTTGCACTGGCCTGGTTTTATGGGATTTTGGGAAGTTACAGGGTCAAATATAGAGCTCGCCCATTTCAGTTTGCCAGATAGTTTTGCTGGACCTACACTGCCTTTGAATCCATATGGTAGCCCAGGAATGAGAATTACCTCCGTCTCGGCATACCATTTGCAAACGTAGACAACCCAGGGTATTCAAAAGGGATATGCCCAGTCTTTTTTTAGTAGCCATTTAGTCACAAACCCTAGCCAAATTTAGTATTCATATTTTTTTGCATTTTTCACACAAACTACAGTTTCCTTGATGATATCATACAATTATATGTTTTACTAATTTAAATATTTGTGTTCAGCGAAGTCTCTCGAGTACAACAGTAGCCCGCCATGTACAGGTTTTATTTATATATATATTTATTTTGCATTGGCTAGGGAGTATACGAACGGAGTGACATTGCATCTCTCTGTTCAGATGCTGGAGCAATAACAACAAAGCCAGTATGTCGGTATCATGGAAGAGGTTTGCCTGCTTGGGAATATGTCCCAATGTAGGGCAAGTCAACGAATTGCAGAGAAGAAGTGCAGGCAGAGCAGATGTGAGAATTAAAGCAGTGTAACAATCACCTTTTGTTTTTGTTTTTTTAATTCTTTATTTTTACTGTGCGTAGTGTTACATACATGCAGTCATATTATGATCTAAACATACATGTTTAATCCTGGTCTTATTGGTTTAACAGATAACACTATTGTGATTTAGGTTTAATATCAAAATGTAAACTGTTCTATTTAGAACTGTGTGTGTGTTTTGCTGTATTTTTGGTATATGTTTACGAATCCAAAGACGTGTTTCTCTGTCTGCGACTTGATGTATAAGGATGCATGCAACTTTACCTTTTAAAAAATACAGATTGTTAAGTGGTTTAAGGATAATGAAAATTATTTATTTTTTATAAAATCCACTATAAATGTAAAACTGTGACCAAAAATCACAAGAAATACTGCAGTAATTACGATATATGAATTTTTAAGAAAGCGTTACATTTTCTAAAACCTCTTGTTAAATTTAGCAGAGTTTATTTTGTTATGTTTTCAAAAATTGTTCCAGCATAAAGCACAGTAAATTGAAGTATGCTTTAATCAATCCATTTTAATAGAGTTCTCAGTATGTTTACTAAATCAAGTCTGGCAACCCAAAAGAATATACTAAGTGAAAACACATGGCCCAAGTATACATAACTTAAACTATTAATTTGTCCACATTAGCATACTTTACATATTTATATTTTATGAAGACATACATTGAAATTGTGTTATTGGAAAAAATAAAAGTAAATATAAAAAAATAAAAGTAAATTGAGTTCTGAAAGTCTAGAGAGAAAAGAAATCCCAACATTATTCAAAATTTTCAATAATAATTAATTTTATAAAATTCAGGATATTTTTATTTATATTGCCAATATCAAAATTAGGTACAGGGAAACTGATAGAATTAATTCTATTCATGAGCCAGGTGACCTAAATAAGTACCTGCCCGGGATTTAACTCTGTATGCTGTTTGTACAAATCAGCAAATAGTCAAAATTACTAAAGGCAAATTACGGTTCATAAAAAAAGCAAAAAAAAAAGTGCTTTTTAATTTATTCCAATAAAATTCTATTGAAAAGGGAAATGGACATCCTATTATTTTATGCCTGTTAAAACCAGGCAAATTGACATGAACAAAAAAAAATCAACAATTTTAGACATGCCCTAAAACCCCTCACTACCTAACTGTATCTCCACCCTGTTAGCGCAAAAGCCTATAACAAGATATTGCGACTAGACTTACATTAAAGGGACACTATAGGCATGCAGACCACTTTAGGCAGTGTCAGAACTACCACCGGTGTAGTTGCACTGGGGTCCAAAGTGGTAAGGGGGCCCAGGGCCGGGAGTTCCTCCACTGAGTTGCGGCCTGGTAATGGGCCCTCCTTGATGAATAGTGGCCTGGTTGGGTGTCGCAGCCCTTTAAGAGTCTGACCAGCTGAGCCGGACCCTGTGATCTCAGCTGGCTAGGAGGAAGTGGCAGCTTGTCACTTCCTCCCAGTCATAAGGAGAGCGGCTGCAAGGGAGAGGAAGCACAGGAAGCAGGCGGGAGAAACAAGTGAGCTGCTCCCCACACATCAGCCTCATCCAGCAGCACCTCAAGCAAGCCACTTTCCTACAGACAAAGGTAAGCTAACAGGAGGGTGGCTGTAAATATAAATACTATAACATATATGTGTGTGTTCATATCAGTTTGTGTGTCTCTGTGTGTCACTGTGTGTATTTGTCAGTGTATCTGAGTTTGTGTATGTGTGCCAGTATGTTTATTTGTGTGTCCCTGTTTGCATCTGAGGGTGTATCTTTGTGTCTGTGTTTATTTGTCTGTCAGTGTTTGTATCTGAGTGTGTGTGTATATGTGCCAGTGTATGTATGTCAGCGCATATATTAATGTGTGTGTATTTGTGTATATATGTTATTGTTTATCTATATCTCTGTAAGTATTTAAGTATGAAGTAGTGTATGTGCATACACCGCAGCAAACATCAACACAGCATGCAAACACACCCCTGCAATCTAACGCAAACATTACATACAAACACACCTCTGCACTCAAACTCTAAAATTATGTACAAACACACAATTTAAAAGGCAACACTACATCAAAAAACATCAACACACTCACTTGCAAACATTACATACAGACGCAGCCCTGTAGTAAAACACTAATATTCTGTGCAAACACCAACACTACACACAAAAGCACACCTGCATTTAAAAGCCCAAACTACTTACAAACACACCCCTGCATTCACATGCAAACACTATACACAAATAAAGTATACCATTGCATTCCAATGGCAACAGTATATACAAATGCACCCCTACATGCACAGACATACTCTATACAAGCATGCTTACATTCAAATACACAAATATTGCTCACAAATACAACCATGCAAGGTTAGGCAAATGTTAGATCTACAGCTGGTTTAGCATCATGGGACAGGTGGGGATCTATCTTTTCACCACTCTTGCACTAGAGGGGGCCCCCCCAAAAGTCTTGTACAGGGGCCCTCTGAACATTACTGCCACTGACTTCAGCTCATTGATGTAGATTCCAACAAAATTCTTAGGCGCAATACCCCTATTAGTTTAACCCTGCAATAGTAATTATAGCAGTTTTTGATAAACTGCAATAATTACCTTGCACAGTTAACTCCATTTCTTGAAGCACTTCCGGGTCTTGAGTGAGTGGGGCGCTATATTGTACTATAGTGCCCGGAATATAACTTTGTATTCCTAGCAGTATAGTTTCCCTTTAAACGGGGAAGCCTTAATGAATTGCCTTCTCTTGTGACATATTTGTGATATAGACATGCCCCCTGTTCAGAATGTGCCAGATTAGCGTATATTACCACAGTAATGTGACAATGATCTACAAAACACTATCAGTTTTATTGTATGTCAAGATGTATAAACTCATGCAATAAGTGCAGAAACTAGTAATAGGATAAAAGTTCCATTACTCTCTGTGACCCACATTCCCAATGTCACGCAGTACTAAATACGCCACTGTAACACCGATATGGAGAAAGCAATCTGACACTCAAGCTGTGATACGATTGACCCCGTACAATACAACCCTTGGGAAGTGCCCATGATGATTGCATCTTCTAATCTCTGATCTGTATACTCACTCTACCTAAAGGAAAGATCAGACACCCTCACATCCTGCCATGCAAGACCATGATCAGTATGTAAGATTCCACCATGAAGACATCTTAGTACTCATACTCACACTCGGAGGCATCCAATAACTCCGAAGTCCAGAACATAAAGACACATAGTTTTTCATCAATGTTTTATTGTTATTGTCTTCTAAAATGTATGCTACTTTATAGATCTTAATATGAAACGATCATATCTCTTGCAACAACTTACATGCCTGTAGACACAACAAATTGAGCTTTACATTTGTAGTAATGTGACTACCTAATCACAAATAAAGCATGTATTTATTTATATATGTCTCTTCACAAAATCCTAAAATAAAGAATTAAACAAAAAAAAGAAAAACCATAAAAGTTCCACAAGTATAGTGTGTGTCCCATATGTGGTAAGGCAAAATTTGGTAATGAGGAGCAAAAGTTGCTAAAGTTCCAAGAGATTCTAAATTCAAGTGGTGTGGTCTCTACTGAAATAGAGGCCACTGAGATCCAGAGGTTTATAATAAACCTGTGTTCATTTTTCCAGGGAAAGTGCTTCTTGTAGTTTTTATATATATAATCTTTGAGTATAACATCTGATGAAAGTAGACAATTGGGTCTAAATTTAACTTGGGGCCATTGAGATCCAGAGGTTTCGATTACACCTGTGATTATGAAATATGTAGTGTTTTCTTTCCTCAATATTCATGTAAATATCTACAGATGGATGGGTGTGTTAGTTTTTATATTATTTATTCCTGCATCACTCACAAACCATATATCTATCCGTTTTCTATATCCTGCTCAGGTTACTATGTTGAATACGTGGTTCAGCCCATTTTTTATTATTATATTATTAATATTTGGTTTTTATGTTTATTTCTTTATTTATAATTCTCCTTATATGAATAAGGTTAAAACACACATTATTTTTTATATACTATCGACCACAACATGTTTCAGTGTACAGATGTATTTATTTACCTCTTCTACGTAAAATTTTAACTTTGCGTTTATATACAGACAATTCATGCTCTCTGTTACTTGATTGGTAATTTGTAAAACTTATATATAACACTAATAACTGCTGCTAATAACTACTCCAGCTGGACACTGATATTAAGCCTCTTCATATTGGACTTCATCCTGCAACATGTAGCCTAGTCTTGAAAAAGTCCATCCCAAACAAATCACGTAGACATTGTGCTGAGATTCAAATTCTACACTCTGAAGGCAGCATATTTCTGGGCACACGTGCTTCATTCAGCCATGGCATTGACAAGCAGCGTTATATCTGCTATATTGCTTGTTGCTGTGATTGGAACTTCACACATTGAAGGCAGCATACCTCCTCGCATATTAAGGTCATTCAGCCACAACACCAATAAGCTGTGTTATACTTGCTATCCAGCCAATACCCCAAGGAACTGTTATACCTGCTATCCAGCCACTACACCAAGGAGCTGTGTTATACCTGCTATCCAGCCACTACACCAAGGAGCTGTGTTATACCTGCTATCCAGCCACTACCCCAAGGACCTGTGTTATATCTGCTATCCACCCACTACACCAAGGAGCTGTGTTATACCTGCTATCCCGCCACTACACCAAGGAGCTGTGTTATACCTGCTATCCAGCCACTACCCCAAGGAGCTGTGTTATATCTGCTATCCAGCCACTACACAAAGGACCTGTGTTATATCTGCTATCCAACCACCACACCAAGGAGTTGTGTTATACCTGCTATCCAGCCACTACCACAAGGAGCTGTGTTATACCTGCTATCCAGCCACTACCCAAAAGAGCTGAGTTATACCTGCTATCCAGCCACTACCCTAAGAAGCTGTGTCATACCTGCTATCCAGCCACTACACCAAGGAGCTGTGTTATTCCTGCTACTTTCTTTGTTGCGAGGATCCCTGCTTATTTCACTACCTTTCTGGATTATAATCCATTTATCCACATAGGAGCATTACTTCTACATTTATCTCTCTCCTGCTTAGATACATAATCTATATCTAAATCACCGGCTTACTGCAGTTATGGGATGGAATGAGACTGCTGATTTGCCCCTTAGTCTTTACTAACATTGACTTTATTGTTTAACAATTGATTATTGTTTAATAAATGTGCATTTGCATGCTATCTGTAGATTATATTAATACTTTATTAGTGCTACTCCGTTTTTCTCTTATTTGCTAAGTTTTATGCATGAGAGTAGAAACTCTGATGTCTAAGAATTCCTGCCTTTTCCCCCAAAGCCATCACTACATTGCTATGTCCTTTATGGTCCACTGTCCACTAATGCGCGCACATTGGGAATTCTAACATCTGCACTCTGACTCATGGACTACGAGGGAACGATTACTGTGGTCTGCACCTGCCAGAGGTGCAGATCACATGCTCCTCCACTCAACCACCAGGGAGTTTATCGCCCAATGGAGTATGACAACCATAGCTCCTTCCTTCTGGGAAGCTCAGCAGGAGAGGGGGCAAAACTAAGCAGATGAGCACATTAAACACATCACACCACACACATTACATACTGCCTGCAAACATCACATATGCAGCCAGCACACAACCAGTACACACCCACACAATGCACATAGCCAGCACACAGCATATACACCCACTCAGTCAGCAATAATCTCACACACATTACAGACACTGCATACATTAAATACCAGGCGAACCCCACAAACCTATACACAGCTGGTGCACTAGCACACATTACACATAACTAGTCCACACTTCACATACAACAAATAGCCAACAAACAATACACACATTACACTCAGCTGGTACACACCACACACATTACACACAGTTGGCACACAAACACATTAGACTGCACATTTTTCCAATCAGATTTCTTTGTAAAAAAATCCAAGTTTATTCTATCTATCTATCTATCTATCTATCTATCTATCTATCTATCTATCATTATGGTTATGTACTAAGTGTACACACCGATTTCAAATGATAAATTCAACATTAATGTCTAGTTTTCAAATGTGCCACTAGATGGCAGTCTACACATTTCAGTGAAATCTGTCAATGTAATTCTTCATTACAATGAGAACCTGTCTTATTTTTTATTAAGAGGAGTTATATAATACAGAATTGCTTATTAATAGAGGATGGTATAACAGTATACAAAGCATTTGGAGGAAGAAAAAACAAAGCTTGACAACAATATGTAAAATATAGTAACACTGAATAAAAATGATGGTAGTATTGATCGTGTAAATTAAAGTGAGAATGGTCTCACCTGGTATATTATCTGATTCCTAGTAGGAAGTAATGCACAAGTAGTCAAAGGAAAATACAAGCTTAAAATAGTTCAGGAGATATACTAACATGTGCAAAAAGATGTAATACTTATAACTCTCCCATAAAATAAAATCCTAGGGAAGTTATTGTAACGGACTCCGGGTAACCTGACCGGTAACCTCCGCTATTGCCTTCCTTCCGCCACTCTGGAACCACTTAAAGTACAAAGAAAACCATTTCTCCCCAGTAACTGGACAAGATCTAGTTCTGGAGGTACAACACGATTTTAATGACCACACACGGCCTTTATGCATAACCCCATGCAAGGGGTTTACCACACAAACATACTGGGTCCCAACGCCGAATCCTCCCCCACCCTGGGGTCCCAGTGCAGGAAATGGGACTTTGTTCTCTTTGTCCTGAAAGCCTGCCACCCAAACACAGGGTTTCCCACAACTGACTATAGGGGGTCTTCTTCCCAGGAGCATTTGTGCCTGGGAGCCATGCGAATGGGAGTGCAAATGTTCTAATTGATTGGTGTGAATGTTTTAATGGGGCACCTGGGAGGTCCTCATTCGGGAAACGAACGAGTCAGGAAGCGATCCACGAAGGCTCCACCTGGATGGCATTCATCTATATGAAATGGCGGCCACCCAGGGGGAAGCACGTGCCGATGGCTTCCCTAGCGGTTTTGGCACTAGGTCAAGGTTAGAAAGTTCTAATTGATGTTACAGGGAGGACACACATATTACAAGCGGGGGTCTGCCACAGTTATAAAAAAGAGTCTAAAACACATGACACTTTATTCACTCTTGGCCATTAGGACTAGACTATGTATATAGGTAACCTTATGTGTAATGCCCACTATTATCCAGCAGGGGGCAAGGTAATGCAAAACAAATTATCAAACGGGGAAGTGTATAATATCAAGGGATATAAGAGGTATATATAATAAGAGTCCCTGTAGCTATAATAAGATGGACAGTATGTTATGCAATTATTGTTCTTTGACTTCTTTTTTCTTTACATCCTACTAGGGATCAGAAAATATACCAGGTGAGACCACTCTCAAAGGCGGAGTTAAGATTAGATAGGGGTCAATGCCAGTTAGATTACGGCTCATGATGGGTTAAAGTTGTAGTATAGGGTTATTTAGCTTAGGGTTAGAGTGGGATTATTAGGTTTAGGGTTAGAGATGGGGTAAACTTGGTATTTGGGTACATATGACATTACAGCCTCTTGATACACACTTCAATCCCTACAGAAACACACACACACATACAAACACTACAGCTCCTATATTCACACGGCAGCCCCTATACACATAAACACACACTGCAGGTCTAATTCACATACAGATATGCACACACTGCAGACACCAGATACATACTCACATTCTAGTGCTCCTACACACATGCAGAAACACACATACTAGAGCTCTTATACACACACAGTCCTTAGATACGCACTACAGACACTATGCACATTAAACTTCATATACAAACACACAATATGTATATATAAAAAAACACATACATACAGACACACATGCACACACTTCCTCAGCAGGGTTTTGCATAGGAAAAAAGGCCTGAAGGGGCATTAAACTAACATGTTCACTTTGGGGCTGCATGCTTGTCAGTGGTAATGACATGACGTTACCTCTATGACCACAGCCCATCATATTGGGCTTCACTGATTTAAAATGCCCAGGGGTTTTTTCCGGTCCCAGTCCAGCACTGGACAGGACCTTAAGGGAGCAGTTCATGCTTGAACCCCTTCAATGTCACCGAATTAAAACAAAGAGAAAGGTGGGACAAAATCCTCTACAGTGATATGAATGATTGATTCCCAGTTGCTAATATTAAAGATTTCTTGTTAAAATATGAAAGTGTTTTGCAACCACCTTCCTTAATGCTAGAAGTTATCGATTTGCTTATAGCAAGTCAGCTACAGTTGGGTAAATCTCATGAGCCATCTTGCTTACCTATAGCCTGGTATTTATCCTACTGGAAAAAGTTGGCTATACTGTGTCTGACTATATATTTTACTCTGCGACACTAACCTAGATCTGTGTTGGATTGTAACCCAGTGGTTCCCAAACGTTTTAGGTTCAAGGTGCCCTTAATGTTTCAATATTTTTCCAAGACGCCCCAAGTTAAAACAATTTCCTAGGTTGTATATATGTACAGTGCAGCGGATATACGGGGCCCCTGTTTGGCTGAAATGCTTGCTGTTCAAGCGCAGATCCAGAACCTAATCTACGCAGGGGCACTGGTAGATTATTTAAAGAAACAATCCAGGCACATAACCACTACAGCCCTTTGTAGTGGTTATGGAGCCAGTAGTGCCGTAGTACCCTCCCAGAGTAAGTAATCAAACTGTTTGAGAACAGTTTGACAACTTACCTGGGATCTGCCGGGATAGGGGCTGTAGAAGGGGATAGGGGCAGTAGTGTGTCTGAGGGGTGCAGTGCATGTGTGTGTGTTCTCCTCTTGCGTGTGTGTTCTCCTGTGTGTGGGGGGGTTCAGTGAGTGTACGGGGGTGCATTGTGTGTGTGTGTGAGGGGTGCAGTGTGTATGTATGTGGGGCAGTTTGTGCATGAGGGGTACAGTGTGTGGGGGACAGGTTGTATGAGAGGGGGCAGTGTGTGTGTGGAGGCAGTGTGTGTGTGAGGGGAAGTGTGTGTGGGGGCAGTGTACGAGGGATACAGTGTGTGTGAGGGGTACAGTTTGTGTGTATGGAGGAAGCAGTGAGTGTGTATGGGGGTTAGTGTATGTATGGGGGGAGTAGTGTGTGTGTATGGTGGGTAGTGTGTGTGTGTGGGGGGGGTAATTGTGTGTTTAGGGGAAGTTATTGTGGGTCTGTGGGGGTACAAGGGCAGATAAATATAAATTGCAATAATAAATAAATAAATATATACCTTTTTTAACTAAAAAATAATAATTACTTTCATATCCCAGGCAAAGGTAAGAAGGGAAGGGGAACAGTACAAGGCAATCCCCGATGGTCCGGTGGAGAAGCCCTGTTCAAGTGGTGAGCGTTCAGGAGAGGAGTTGCTAGAGTTCACTCTCGCGAGATTCGGAGCATTGCCGTGGTAACTGCCGCAACGTTCCGAGCTCGCAAGAGGAGAACCCGGCAGAGCTGCTGGTTAGAGCTCCCCCGGGTCCTCTCTCCCTCTCCTGCCGGCTGCCAGCATTACACTGCTAGTGGGCAGCTAGGGGAGATCTCTGTCCTGCAGAGCTGGCAGGGGAGAGGGATCACAGCACCGGGAAAATATCTTGCGGTGCCCCTGTGTGCCTGTCGCGGTGCCCCAGGACGCCGCGGCACACAGTTTGGGAACCGCTGTTGTAACCCATTGTCAATAATATGCCTGGCAACATTTTAACATCAACAATATTTATCACACATTAATGTAAGGTCCCCAAAATCAGACTGGGGATTAATTAATGGAGAGAGACATACGGTTTATTTAGCTCCCCAAGATAACTCAATCTGTTTGAGTTGATTGCAACATCCTCCTATTTACCTGTACATATACACCAACCTATTACCTCTCTCTTTATTATTTTTTCTATGATATGGCTTATATTCAGTGTTTGATTTCCTGTAAATAATTACTATACATCTTATTTATGTATTTCTTGAAACTTTTTGTACATTTTTGTGTGTTCAGTCATTTATTTAAATTTTGACACAAGGCACTCTGAAGCCCCTAAAATATGATTGTGATGATTGTGATTGTAGTCTGACCAAAGTAAGAGAGGGTTAATTTTGACATACTTGATGTGATATCGTTTAGAAGACAGTTTAATAGGTAATGGTCCATTGGAAAGTCAATGAATAGGCTCAAAAGAACAAGAGTCTTTTGTTTTTCTTCTTAGTAATGTATCTGCGCTCCATTTTTTTGGTCATTTACCAGCGTCAGTAGCCATATCATTTATGATGCCAGTAGCATGAAATATAAAATATCACACAACATCTTATAGTTAGTAATTATTATTTCCAACAACATTTATTGACTATAAAAAATAATAATAATATCACAAAATCGAAGAAATACATATAAAAGTACTTTATATATTTATATACATTGACCAAATATTAGATACATTTTTGGACCTACGAATTTGTCCTATAAATGCTAATATTGCAGCACACACTTAACCCACTAATTAAAAACAAGCATGGACTACAATGAAACATTAGAACCAGTTGTCCTAATCTGTTATCTTAATTATCTAAATGCATTTAATAATTTGTTGGTTTTCATTTTCAGTACTGTCACATGTACTACCCTTTTATGTCATTTTACTTGAATTTCAAATTTAGGCTCAAAATAGCCAAGCTGAAAACATTCTATAAGTCAGTCATGTTATTGATCCGGCTATTTTGGCTTTAAATTGGGAATTAATTTTAAATTCTCCCTTTGGTGAATAACCTCATTAACATACATGAGAATCATAATGCCAATGATATCTTGCACAGAGGTGTACATGGTTTCTACCTAACAATAGCCTCAATTTTATAGTCTTGGATAAACTTATCAAATAATTGCATGTTTTTTGGATGCACTTAATATGATTTATTATTTAGATTTTGTTTAATATTTAGATTTTTGAGGTATATTTTTGATATATTGATATTGTTATATATAATATATTTTTGGATTTTTTTTTAAAGTTTATCCAAAAATATTACATTTATTTGAAATGTTTAAAAAGAAAACTAAATCCAGGCAAGTATGTGTTCAGAAATGTGCAGGAATGTATGCATTTAGACAGAAAACATGCTACGTTATTGCAAAAATAAGTCACGTAACTACCTGATAGATAACAATTCCCAAAGAAAAGTATAATACACTGTCTATAAAGACAATTAGTCATTTATTTACCATTATTGAAGACAAATGACTACAGTGACTAGTGATTAACGTACCTGACTGCTCACTATATAGATCAAGTCTAGATACTATTTATTAGATATTATGTGCTGTTCTAGTAAATAGGCACAGTCTTATTTAGATCAATTGGAATGGTTCCAGCTTTCTCCATTATATATTCATCCTTGGATGATGGCCATTCATTCTGAAACAGGCGTGGGAGTTGGTGTTGGCTTGTGTCTTTCAAGGGCAGCACAGTCATCGGTGAAGAAGACCAAATCCTGAGGAATATATATATAAAGAATGTTGAGGAAATAAAGATTACTTCTGAGCAATTAGCATAATGATTTCATACATATCTGCAGAGACAACAGAAGGCGAGCTGTATGTTGGAATACTGCAGGTAGCCAACTAAAAAACTAGGTAACAAAATATCATTTCTGATTGGCTGAAAACTAAAATGGAAGTTTTGCCTCAAACAATATGATATTAAACAACAGAGCAAAGAAACTGTGCACCTTCTATGCTATTATTTTCTTTAGCTTTGCTTATTTTTAGCTGTAAAAATAAAGTGGCAGATGTGATTATCTCAAACTTGTATTCTTAAAGGGAAACTATAGTGCAAGGAAAAAAAAAGTTATTTTCCTAGCACTATTGCTCGTTATAGTGCCCCGCTTCCTCGCACCTCCCTGCCACCAGTGGTGCTGAAGGGGTCACTTAACTAATCCCAGCAACAATGTCCCTTGGAGCTGGATAAGGCTCCACCTCTGCTTCTCCTCGAGCAACGTCAGCCGGAGGGGGGACCTAATGAGCATGCACGGCGAGGGCTGCCCTTGCATTAGGACTTCCTCCATAGGAAAGCATTGTATAATGCTTTCCTATGGGATTGTGGGTGACACTCATGCAAAGCACTATGTTTCCTTCAGTTAATTTGTTTAGTATGTGCCCCAACATAGGAGGCGTGAGGGACCTGTGCCAGGTCCCCTTTTATTAGATTAGTGACAGGGCAGCAATAGCTGGCCAATTGCTAGTCTCTTTTTAAAACAATGAGCAGCTACTGTCTGCTTGCTGTATAGTGGCAGGAGGGAAGAAGTATATTTTACTTAGCATTAGTAAAGTTTTCTGTAAGACAAAAATTGCAAAAAGGAAGGGCTTTTCGTAATTTTGGTCTTTTGGCTTCTTAGGTGATAGCTCCCTAATCCTTATGTTTGATTGTCATAAGGATTCCAAAAAAGAGCTATCTACTAAAGAGCTCCCTATTTGGTACCCTGAAATATGGTAATACCATAAGGGTACCAATTTTGGGAGTTATCTAGTAAACGGCTGCAAGATGCAGATGTGGCATGTGGCCTGCGGCACAGATCAGAATTTTATTTATCCTAATGAAATTCCAAAATGAAAATAATGAAGAAATTGACAAAATTCGGTTCAGCTGAAATAATTGTTTTTTTTTTTGTCCGATGAAAATTTCAGCAGTGCAAAAGGCTAGTTTTTGGCCGTTGACTGATCTCCGGCTTATCTGGTTCAAAGATGTCCCTGTACATACCAAACGGAACCAATCCAAAGAAAATATTCTCATTATAAATGTTAACATGACTTACCCGTTTGCAAACTGAGTTCATGATGGTGTACAAGTTTCTTACTTTCTTCTTTAATGCAGTGACCCTGGGGAATCTACCACAGTTTGGGGTTGAAATAAATTCACGCAGCTTTGTCATCACACAAGAATTCTGTTAGAAAACATTGCAATGATTATCTAATACAGAGAAATTACTTTTTATAGTCATTGTTAGGCTGCAAAATTTTACAGGGTCTCAAACCCTTACGATGCCATGGACTTATGCAGTTAACAAATCCTGCTTTCCTTAATCTCTTTATGTATGTTCACTGCAACAATTAAGGCACACCAGTCATTATGCAGGTCATTATGCAGTTCAAGAAAGTAGTAGATTTAATGCATGTACATCATATATATGAAACACACTTTTCTTAGGGGTGCATTCAACAGAAGGCAAAATCAACCAATCAAAGAACTGTCAGTGAATTATTCATATAACATTACGTATTGCTTTAAGTCAACTGCGCATGTATAGCACGTCTTATCATAAATATGCAGTCTGAGTTTCTAGTGCAAAGGCTTTTAACCCTTTATTTACCTGTATCTATGACAAGTCCCCTTTTCTGGCACTGCAGGAGAGAGAGTGAGGCAAGGTATATCCAGATGTACTAATTACACCTGTAGGACTTTAATTAGCGCTTTGCCTCTATTCCCTTTCCGTCTCCCAACCACAGAACCATCAAGAAAGAACTGTACAGATATTTGTAGATACAGGACAATATATGTTATTAGATTGATGTCTCATTATGCTATGGTAACCTACTCGAGCCAGAGATGAAACAAGGACACTCCAAAATACCACAGACACAGGTCATTACAGAACAAAGGCTATTTATTATTTTGCAGATGCACAGTCTCAGTCAGACCATAGTCTTGGAATACCCGACTGAGCACACGTTTACAAGAGAACAAAGAATATACACCACAAATGACGTATTCCATGCGTATACAGAGAATACAGAAATGACACCTACATGTACTATGGTTACATCCAATTATTTAACTAAAACTTATCTCTTACACATGTTATCTAATAGTGGCCATTCCTGGCATTCCACACATGCGCCCTGGTCCAAGATAGTTGCACAGTAGTTTAAACCATGTGAGTACTGAACTTTTCTTAAACATCATGTAGCTTCTACCACAATGCAATACATCCATAGGTTAACATATATATTTTTCTATAGCTCTGGATGTCTACAATTCATTTCCCATCAGTCATCAAAGTATTTCTTAGTGAAGAACCTCACATAGAACAGACAGAATGTTAATGCAGTAATCCTTATTTAGAAGGCTCAAATGAGTCCTTGAGATCTTTACAAAGTGCTTTACAGAGGGAATTTATGCCATTGCCATGTCAGATTGTTCCCACCCATGTCATCAGTTGAGAAACAAAATATTAGGAAAACCTCCTCTCAGTGGTGTATTTAGGATTTGTGCTGCCCTAGGCAGGACGGTGCCCGGGCAGCCCCCCTAATTTAAATTTCCCCCACCCCCTCCTGTCAAGGTCGCACTTTGACTGACAGACGCACACTCACTGACAGACGCACACTCACTCATATACACACACACTATTACTTGGACGCACACACTGACAGACGAACACTCGCACTCACTGACAGACGAACGCATGCACTGACAGACAGATGCATGCACGCACTGACAGACAGACAGACGCACGCACGCACTGACAGACAGACGCACGCACGCACTGACAGACAGATGCACGCACGCACTGACAGACGCACGCACTGACAGATGCACGCACTCACTGACAGACGCACGCACGCACTCACTGACAGACAGACGCGCGCACGCACTGACAGACGCACGCACTGACAGACGCACCCACTCACTGACAGACGCATGCACTCCCTAACCAACACATAAACACTCACTGACCGACACATAAACACTCACTGACTGACACATACACACTCACTGACCGACACACACACATACATTTACTCACTGACACACACATTCACTTACAGTCACACACACTCACTTACAGACACACACACACACACTTACAGACACACACACACACACACTTACAGACACACACTTACAGACACACACACTTACAGACACACACACTTACAGACACACACACAAACACACTTACAGACACACACATACAGACTTACAGACACACTTACACACTTACAGACACACTTACAGACACACACACACACATAAACACTTACAGACACACACATACACACTCACAGAGACACACATACACACTTACAGACACACACACATACACTTACAGACACACACACACATGGCCGCCATCAGGGGGTGACAACCATAACGGTTGTCACGGGCCTGGCGGCCGTGTGGGGCCCATCAGATGGCCCACACACTTAGGGCCACCCGATGGGCCCTATATCTTCAGGGGCCCGGTCAGCGCTGTTGCCATGGTATAGCGTGACTGGGCCCCTTTAAAAAAAAAAAAAAAAGCAGCCGCAAGTGCTGCTGGGAGGAAGTGGTCACTTCCTCCCAGCTCACTCCGCGCGGGAGGAGCACGCGCGCCAGTGAAGAGGGAGAGCCAGGCATTGAAGAGGGAGCCGCGCCGACTCCCATCATCCCCAGCCCCCCTCCTGCAAAGAAAAGGTAAGAGACAGGAGGGTGGCTGGAAAATGAGCTGTGTGTGTGTCTGTCTGCATGTATGTCTGTATGCATGTATGTCTGTCTGCATGTCTGTCTGCATGTCTGTCTGTATGTCTGTCTGTATGATTGTGTTTTTCTGTATGCATGCATGTATGTCTGTATGTATGTGTATGTCTGTATGTTTGTCTGTATGCATGTATGTCTGTATGTATTTATGTGAATGTCTGTATGCATGCATGTATGTCTGTATGTCTGTATGTATGTCTATGCATGTATGTCTGTCTGTATGCATGCATGTATGTCTATGTATGTCTGTCTGTCTGTATGTATGTCTATGTATGTATGCCTGTCTGTATGTCTATGTATGTATGCCTGTCTGTCTATATATGCCTGTCTGTCTATGTATGCCTGTCTGTCTATGTATGCCTGTCTGTATGTATGTGTATGTATGCATGTATGTTTATGTATGTATACCTGTATGCATGCATGTCTGTGTGTATGTCTGTATGTATGTATATGTATGTCTGTCTGTCTGTATGTGTATCTCTGTATGTATGTGTATGTCTGTCTGTATGTATGCATGTCTGTATGTCTGTGTATGTATGTCTGTCTGTATGTATGTGTATGTATGTATGTATGTCAGCATGCTTGTATGTCTGTATGTATGTCTGTATGTCTGTTTGCATGTATGTCTATGCATGTCTGTCTGTCTCTCTGTATGTCTGTCTGTATGCATGCATGCATATCCATGTATGTATGTATGTCTGTATGAATGTCTATGTATGTCTGTCTGTGCATGTATGCCTGTATGTCTGTCTGTCTGTATGTGTATGTATGTATGTCTGTATGCATGTATGTTTATGTATGTATGTCTGTATGCATGCATGTCTGTGTGTATGTCTGTATGTATGTATGTATGTATGCATGCATGTATGTCTATGTATGTATGTCTGTCTGTATGTATGTCTGTATGTCTGAATGCATGCATGTATGTCTATGTATGTATGTATGTCTGTCTATGTATGTATATATGTATGTCTGTATGTCATTATATATGTATATATGTATGTCAGTATGAATGTATGCCTGTATATCATTATGTCTGTGTGTATGTGTGTATGGATGTCTGTATGCATGTATATCTGTCAGTATGTCTGTATATATGCATGTATGTCAATCTGAATGTATGTATGCATGTATGTCTGTATGCCCTTATGAATGTATGTCTGTGAATGTCTGTATGCCATTATGAATGTATGTGTGTATGGATGTCAGTGTCTGTATGTCTGTATGTATGAATATATGTGTGTATGTATGCATGTGTGTGTGTGTATGTATGTTGGTGTCTGTATGTATGTGTCTTTATGTCCTCATGCATGTGTGTCTGTATGTATGTTGGTATGTGTCTGTCTGTCACTATGTATGCCTGTGTGTATGTCTCAGTATGTGTGTGTCAGTATGTATGCCTGTATGTGTGTATGTCTGTTTCAGTATGTGTGTCTGTTAGTATGTATCTGTGTCCTTTTGTATCAGTGTGTGTGTTTGTGTCTGTGTGGGTATTCCTGTGGGCGGTATTTGGAGGCGGACCCAGTGGGCGGTACTTGGAGGCGGGCCCCAGGGGGCCCAGACCCTGAGCTGAGTTAGGGGCCCCAAAATTTCTGGTGGCGGCCCTGCACACACATACACATAGACACTTACAGACACACTCACACACTTACAGACACATACATACACTTACAGATACACACACACACATTCACTTAGACATACACACTCACAGATACACACACACACAGACATTTCCACCAACACTCACAAACTAATATTTTTTTTAAAATTTATTTTAAATCCACCCAGCCTCCCTGGGAGAGCTGGATGGATTCCTTACCTGCAGTCCAGTGTGGCTGCTGGTCGGGCAGGCAGGGGGCGGACAGGCTGAGTAGGCGGCGCTTAGTGATGCAGGGAGGCAGCCTGACGCCATATTCCAGCTCCCGGCTTCATTAAGCGGCGCAGAGGGAGCTGAGCAGAAAGTGCTTAGGTGAGCATTCTCCCTCGCTGCCCGCCGCCCACCTTGTGGGGGCTCAAAAGTGGCCAGTCCCCATTGTACAGCGCTATGAAATTTGCTGGCGCTATATCAATAATAAAATAATAATAATAATCTGAAATCCATTTATACAGCCTTTCGGTAGAGACAAATTTTGTCCATAGAAACGATTCAGGATGAATAATTCAGACAAACCAAAATTTGTCCAATCAGTGTACTGCAAAATATATTCATAATATACACTGATTAGCCAAAACATTCAAACCACCCCCTTGTTCTACCAAAACAGCTCTGATGCGTTGAGGTATGGACTCCACAAGACCTCTAAACATGTCAAGAGGTATCTGGTGTAATACAAAGTGAATAAATGGCGCTTCTGAATACAAAAATATTAAACAGTATAAATTAATTAAAATAGCAGCAACCATGTGCAGTGCAAAGACCCAAAAAACACACACACACAATTTGTGATCTGAAGAAGCCGAATCACCAGTGAAACATGTAATCTCGTAGGACATCATTGCCCTGCCCCCCAGAAGTAACATGCCATGTCTTGAAGACTCAGAACTATACTTACCTCTGCTTAGGTTTGAATAGTGCCGGTCTTAGCTCTACTAACTTGCTTATTTGCTTATTTTGGTTATTTGCACTCGGAAACTGCAATAATAACCACTGTAGAATTAAGGGACATGGGCCATTGCACCCAGACCCCTTCAATGAGCTGAAGTGGTCTGGGGGCCTAGTGTCCATTTAAACTTTATATGGAGAACATTGCTATTACACCATAGAGGAAGTAAATAGATTCAACTCCAATGCTGCGAATAATAATAATAATAATAATAATAAATAGATGCAATTTGTAATTATCTGGTGATTTCCCAGCAATTAATGATTTAGTGAAGAACACTGCAAGTAAAGTCCAAAATGTTGCAAGAGATATTATAAAACTCTAGACTCTAGCCATAATATATCTCTAAATAAGGGATGATTGAATGCATGAGTGTTTAGTATTATTTAAATTACAATATGGTATCCTTGAGGTATCGCTAAACCTTAATCTATGCAAAAAGGTTTGTATTATCCTCAGTTTAGTTCATGTTTCAAATTGATGTTATTCTGATTTTTTTTTTTAAATGAAAAGAAAATGTTTTTCATGATGTTAAACCTTTACATTACTCTTGATATTAAATATTTTTTTGGCCCGAATTTATAATCCTTTTTTTTCCATTCGGTGTACACACTTTTTGATTTCACTACAAGTTTAATAATACTTTGCTATATGCTACCAGATAGATTGCCACCACTGGACCAGAACTTAACCATGCTGATGAGTCCCTAGAAGATGGAACAGAGCCAATTGCTTGTTTCCATGCATCGAAGCTGATAATCATCATCGATACAAACAGCCAATAGGTAATTGCAACTAAAAAAAAAAAATAGACAGATTTCTATGGTTCACAATTGCATTAATGTCTCCATTGATACGGACCACCGGGTAGCCTTTACGATTGTGGAAACTGGACAGAAAGGTAAGAAAAGTAGAAATATCGTAGCAACTCCACCAGGACACCACAGAAACTGAGCAAGTAGTTACCCCTATCGGTTTATTCACTAAACAGCAAATTGTATTGATTTGAAAACCTAATTGTACAACGTAAGCAAAAATACCTGGTTTTAATTAATGAAAGCATATTCTGTACATTATGTTAATAGAAGGTTTTACTACTTACTTAATGACCTTAAAGAGGAGGACATAAATGTATTTTTGGTTCCTTTAGGATGTCTTGAGACATTGCATTCCCTTAATTTTCTTTTGAACTTTACATCTAGCAAAAGCAGCATGAAATTAAATGTATTGGCAAATTAAACAGATGTTAAAAAGTAACAGCATCCACTAATTACCAGCAACTAGCAGTGGACATATGTAGTATGGATAGTATGGAAGTAGGTTGAGTCCCTAGCTGTGCCAGCAGTCATTTTAAATACAATTAGCTTTTTGGTGACAGATAATGACAACAATGGAAATGAGCTCCAGGTTGGTCCTTGATCCATTAGGATATAAATCCATGTTTTACAGTAACACACAGATGTCCGAGCACTCAATCGCTGGTAAGATTCAGCTTTATCAGGTCAGGGAATATCACAATGTTTCTGTCTTGCAGTCAGACCTTTCTCATCCACATTTTGACATAAAGGAACTATATTTGAAAACTGTACATCATTGTCAAGAGACCTGCAGAATCATGGGATGAATTCAAATGTGATACTGTGAAAATAGAAACATGCTATTGCAAAGCTGCTTTGTTTGAGGCAAACTTTTTCTAACAATATTCTTGGAATGACATAGGAGATATGTAGCAGTAAACTCTGGGAGTTACCTAATGGAGTGGGTAGTTTTTATCTCTTGTTAAACTTGCCAATACTTTAATAATGCTCGCCTGGATATTGCTTTATAGATTCCCAACATATTAAGTTCCCAACATGATAACCAAAGAATTTAAAGTCATTGTCACCTTTATGATCACCATTATTATTATTTTATAAAGAGTCAACATAAAGAGGGACTGTACATTTGGGAAACAAGACAAACACAAAACAAAAACGAAACGCACAAGTAACAATGACAAAACAAACTAGTAAATTAGAATGGGAGGAGGGGGGTGTGACAAAAGACAGGATTGGGTTTTAGCTGGTAAAATGGAAATGAATCTGCTCGGGAGAGAATATTAAGAGACTTTCATAAATTTGGTATCGGGAGAACAGCATACTGATTAAAAATGAAACTGAAAGACATGGAGCCCCAAATGAGTAAATGACATAGGTTATAATAATTAATGAGTAATGTAAGATCACTTACGTGTACATCCAAGTATAGAGCTGGGAGTAAATCCATGCATGGTCCCTGTCAAAAAGGAACAGACCAGGATTATTACTTTGGGGACATTTTCTGAGATTTTTCCATTTCATTGAGATTTCCAAATTACTTACTGATGGAATAGTTTTCTCCAATTTTTCAAAAGATTCCGTGATTTCTTTGCTCAGAGCTAAAACCCTTGAATAGCAGGTTAGGGGAGCAGATCTGGTTGAGAGAATGAGGAGACTGAGTACTAATGAACTCAGAAATAGCTTCATTACTGACTGCAGTGTGGGAGCAAGGGGCCGCTAATGGTTAGAGCTGCAGTTTGTAAATCAATGAACACATAGAAGCACAGTCAACACCAATTTATACCAAGATTTGAATCAAGGAGGGGTGAGGACTGAGGGGAATTTTAGGCTTTAAGCCAAACAGGACAATTCACGTTTACATTTTAAGCTATATTAGGAGACAGGAATTGGTATCATTCCCATTTGCTTCTAGGACTGAATGGGTAAGGAAAACACAGAAAAGTACAGATGAGAAAAAATTTACTGAATGTATATTTACTTTAATTTTTTTAAGTAAAAAAACAAATAGAACACAAAGACGGAGAAGTAGAAGAGACAATGGTGGAGCAATCAGTACGACATTGCTTATCATTATGTCTGCTCAGTTTAGAACTATTTTGCACAAGCCAACAATATTTTGTTTTGTGGTTTATGGCATCAGTGCTTTTAAATCGGACAAAACATGGCATTTCTTTACAACTGAACGCATGGTTTGGTTTACTTAAAAAGACACTCTGGATCCCTAAAGCAATTTATCTTAGTGAAATGTTTTATGCATGATTTATTTACAGTTTTGTAAAGTAACCGTGTTACATGTGCCTTATTGTCAGTCATACAACTAGTCCTGTTACTTCGTGGTCTGTTTAGCTCAGTGGAGCAAAATTTAAGAGGAAGTAATTGCCCGCAGCACCTACCTTGTAAAGACTTCTCAATGAGTTGCATTGGGAAATCTTTGATTGGACAGCCACAGAAAGACTGGGCGAGGTTAAAAGGGGAGGGCTTTCAACGGCAGCAGACAAGAGAACTGCAGGTTTTGTAAGTGGTTTTTAATTGTTTTAACCACAATGAAAAAAAATGACAATTAAATGCATGCATGTTTTTATTGGAGGTTTAGCTACTAAACAGTGATTTTTCTTTGTATTTGGGCAGTGCAGTATCTCTTGAAATTAACTAGACTACATGGAATTATAGAAGATACTGCTCTACACAATCTCTGAAGGTGGCACACCTTTTTCTCACTGGTATTAGGAACAGAAGTTGACTTAAAATTAAGAAGAGGATTCTAAAGGACCTTATTATAAGTATCAAGTATCCCTACCTTACTGATAAGGCTAAAAACATCATCACCCGCACCGACTGAGCAATTAGGAAAATAAATTAATGAATTTGGTAATATACACTTGCACTTCACTTCATCATACTGCTTGTATGTGGAATGCAGCCCTTTCCTCTTCTCTTTATGTACACGTACCACTATGATCTGTTCGTCCCAATCGCCAACCCTGGCTTAACAATTAACAGAGTATTTTATCACCTTCCCTGTTCACTGTACTGGCCTTCCACCCTTTTCTCAATGAGTACTCTACCTCCCCCAAGCAACCTACTTAAAGTAATTAATTATGTATTTTCCCCCTCACCTATGGCGACCCTAAACAATCTTCTTATATCTGCCCCCTCTGTTATTTCACTCCATACTGCATCCAAGTGTGTATCAAATTTTTTAAGTAAAATAACCAATATTACAGAGTATCCTCATCAAAATCCATCTCTACCCTTTGTCTAACTATATATACCCGTATTTGCTTATTAATATAACATTATACCAGGACACCTGCAATGGCCTCCCTTGTGGCCTGAGCAACTTCCTGCTCTCCCACATGCTCAATGTGTGTGAAGATAGATTAAGTTTACCACTAATTACATTAATCCCTCCTGTAGCACCTTTTAGTCACAGCCCAGCTTTGTATAAACCAGCCATCCGTGTGATATTTGATATAGATGTGATATAGATCTTTGAAGAAGACATTGGCTGTAAATCTTTTGTCCAAGTGGTGTGGTGTAATCAGTAAATGTTTTGGATGCCAGTCTATTATTATTACTAACTTATTCTCAAAATGTATTTGCTGTAATGGATGATTCACTTGCATATTTTACTTTAAAACTTATTAATCTAAATTAAATGCGTGTTGTCCACAGCAGAGTCACTTAGCTTGATTACATTTTCCATGATACAGCGAGTGCCTATCTTTCAAGGTCTACAAAGCATGTTCTAAGTCCCTATGTCCATGTTTAGGAAGTCTATCTTCTGTAGCACATTCAACTTATTTCTATATAAAAGACATTGTTGTTCTCTCGCACCTTCTGCCTCTGTCCAAGAAGTCTGCTTTCTCAGTTACCTTCATCTTATGTCTAACAGGGCCATTTACTAAAAGGAGAATTGTTAGAATACATAATTAATTCTGTAATTAATTAAGTAAATTTAAAATTTAAGGCAAAAATAGCTAAATTGGAAAAAATGCTTCCAGTTTAAATCTCTGTTTTGGTGTAAAATTAGAAATTCCCTTTGAACTCACTTAGTGAAAAACCCTGGCAATCTAGGAAATACGCTTTCTTTAGCCTCCATTCCTATGCCTTTGTCTAGCAAGATAGTTTCAACTAAAATCTTCAAGCTATGTTGACCCTGTCTTTATTATTATTATGCTTTTTATTGCCATTTATATAGTGCCAACAGATTCCGTAGCGCTTTACAATATTATGAGAGGGGGGATTTAACTATAAATAGGACAATTACAAGAAAACTTACAGGAACGATAGCTTGAAGAGGGCCCTGCTCAAACGAGCTTACAGTCTATAGGAGGTGGGGAGTAAGACACGTTAGGACAGGAAATAGCAATCAAATAAGGTGGGAGTGAAGCAGAGCCGGAGGAGAGAGTAGAGTCTTCAAAGTCTATTATCCACGAACAAGAATAGACAAAATTATAGGTTTTGTTTCCATAAAATAATTTGATATCTATGCAATCTGAAGCAAAATAATTAATAAAAATAAAATGAATCGCACAATACTTTCCAGAATAAAAAAAAGCTTGTTTTTCACATGGCTGATTTACAGCTAATCACTTGGTAGTTGTAGGGTTAAGGCATTTATTGTAAGAAAGTGGCCTCGCTTCTCCAAATGCTCTTGAACTACAAATCTCATTATTCCCAGTGATATTACCACTACTGATGCTTAATTATATCTAGTAACTAGTAGTACTATTATTCTTCAGTTAAAGAAAAAGTGAAAGTAATTATTCTGCTTTCCTTCCATATTTATCACATTTACTTGGTAAAAAAAATATTTTGATAGCTATTTCATTTTTTTCAGGTAACTGATTTTGCTGATAAATATGGAGCTGTATTCCTATTCATCAGAAGGGTTTTAATAATAAAATATATTTTTCGGTCAAAGACAAAGTCATCCAAGAAAACATGTCTCGTAGCTTAATATGCATGAAAGTTTCCATTATTACATAACAATTTTTTTTTGATTTAGGTCTATAATTTTATTTTCGAACGAGTTGCACAGAAACAGTCATGCATTATTCTAATATGAATGGGCATTTTGTTTAGCTAGAAATTCCTTACATGCATCCGAAAGCACAGCCCTCCATACAAACTAATGTTTACTGCTAAGGCTTTTAATCTCTGCTCTGATTCACTGCAGAGTTCAATAAAATATAAAATATTAGAACGTATATTGTGATCCCACAGAAAGATTCTTAAATTCAGCTAAGTGCTATTTTTGACAACACATTACAAGTATCCGTCTGTACTACTCTGTTGACAAGTTTAAAAAAACATAGCTTGTGCAAGCTGTGAAAATACAACTTATAAAGGAGTCTTTGAAAAATACCAGTACAGGAGCATTCCGTTTGCTTTCCAAAACATAGTATTGAGAAATAACACGTCAGTTATGTAGACATAAACACAAATATTAGAAAATGCTGAATCTTTTTTTTGGGAACACACAGCAAACTGATAAAGTATTTTTTTTTACTTTTAATTATTCTTAAGCTATAATCAACATTTTTAATTAATAATTTGTGCCTAATAAGGTATTATTTATTATAATCTGTCTGTCCGTCCGTTTATCCATCTATCTATCTATCTATCTATCTATCTTTCTGTGGCACATTACATTGTAATTATAATAACAAACCTTCAATATAGAATGCTAAAGGGAAATGGAAGAGATCATGCACGACAGATAATGGTTTATAAAAGAATACCATAGGTTAACCTCAGATTTGATAAATGATCACTATTCTTGGATCATTATTCTAGTTGAGTCTAATGGGATGATTTGTTTAACTCTATAAAGAGATATATTTTGAAGTTAAATTTGACGTTATTACACAATGAAGAGACTCAAAACCATGTGGTAGTAAGATCCTTATATGTGAGACTTCACTGGGCTAGTCTTGTCCCCAGGAAAGGTGAATATGATGAGACGATAGGCATTGATGACAAGATGGGAAGAAGTCCTAAGTAGTGGCTATTTAATAAAAGGACAAGAAGAAACAGTGGAAATGGCTTTTATTTAATCGTTTATTTTGTTTATTTATTTTAATAAAATGGGAATCCAGTGAAGGACTTTGAAGAGTGTAGTGGCAGAAGAAAAACTGTGAGGAATATGAGATAGGTGGCATACAGACATCCAAAAAGATATCAAGTATCATATTTTGCCCTCTGTTTCGAGGAGATCTCAGGAGATCAAAATAATATCATTGGGGGATTAGGGGAGAGGGACAACATTTATCATTGTTATTTTGAGCGTGGTCCCATCCACATAGTCTGTCCAGAACACAAAGGTTAAGCCAATTTATTCTGCACAAGAGATATAACTTCCCTAGGTACAAAAGTGACAAGCTTTATCAAAATTACTTTGTACTCTTTTTATAATATTGCTTGTAACTATTCCATAGGCCTTATATACTCTCTTATTTAATTTTTTTCGATACTTTTAGCTGTGAGTTTGTCAGAACTGAATGAATTGTGTATAACACTAAATCATTTTTTTAGTTGGTAATCACTTATCGTGAAATTCAGTTGAATCAAACACTCCTTTTAACCTATGGAGCGTTATGTTCTATAGACAAATTTAGTTCCAATTTAGCTGCAATTTTGTTTGTTGAATTGTGCGCTACTTGAAAGTCACAGACGGGGAGGTTCAGACAGGGCTGCATTAAATTTTTTCATTTAACTCCTAAATGGCTGACAATTGAACAGTGAGA